GCGCGGGCTCCGCCGCGGCCTGGCCAGGCTGGGCACGCGCGGGCAACACGAGCGAGTGAGTAACAGAGGAAGCTGCTCTATCCATCCATCCATCTGTCCCTCACATCTAAGTGTACTGGAAAAGCTGCAGAAAGAGTTAAAAACTTAACTGCAGCAGTGAAAGGACGAAGCCACAGCTGGTACGTAGCTGCATGGTGTGGGAGGAAAGGAGACAAAAAGTACCGAGGAAGATTGAATGGTATTTGTAGGCAGCTGAAAAAAACCAAAGCATGGGATGAGGCACACAATAGAGAAAATGTTGATTCCTTTCACCTCCGCTCCAGTACTTGATTCCCCGCATCCCTTTCATTTCTACGGTCTAGTGAATCTGTGTAAAGGAAGAATACATGGCTGCTGCGTTCCCGCAGCAAAATGGAAGGTCTGGTATCGCCTCCGCTTGCACTGCCACTCTGCAGAGGTGTATGAGGTGATGGAGGAGTTGCGAAACTCAAGGAAAAGTAAGTGGGATGCTGTTTGCTCTTACTCACAGGATATAGGTGATGACTCCAATGGACCAGCAGTCTACGGCTTTGCTGTATGGCTTCTGGGCGAGGACTTCAGGGGCTGCAGAACAGCAAAACCAAATGAAAATTCTAAGCAATAATAAATTATCCAATACTGGGAAAAGCAATAGTTTCTTGTACACTTGGCCTCTGAGGTGCCAGTGCAGAGAATCAGCCAGTAACAGCCCCATTTACCGGTTGGATTGCTGTGTGCTTCTCCTATCTGTTTTATGCCATTGAATAGAAAGAGTCACTGATAATTTCTGCCTGCATCCTGAGGTTTTAGCCAGTAAGCTGTGGATCAAGCCAATGCAGTCTGGTGGACATTAAACAAAATCCCATTGTGTTAAAATTATTTTTGTAATTTTTCAATAAATATATGCCTAACTGAAATATATTGCTCTTAAAATTATCCTTTTCTTTGCACATTCTGGGATTTTGCAGTCTCTATATGCATCTGTAATCCAGTCTTCATGTGGTCCATGCAGTGCACCTGTGAGTAGCATGATGTTAATGTAATTATGTATTTCTTTCCTCTCTGCTAGACAATGCACAACCTTTTTTCCAGACAGTCCACCAGCACAGGCCCTCCCTGATCCTTGGCTTACCAACATATCCCGGAGTGCCACAGGCGGTGGACATGATGCCGTTCTGCTCCATTTTAGACAAGCCGAAGTCCGTGATCATGATTTTGGAATTCTCTTCAGGAGTAAGGTAAAGAAGGTTTTCAGGCTGCGAAAACAGAGCGTTCGGAGGTTGAAATTTGTGGTAGAAAGATGGAAAGGAACAACAGAAAGCCCTGGGGCAGAGCAGGTAAAGGCTGCAGTCACGCCAGCTCCCCGAGGCTCTGCTGTTGCTGAGGGACAGGTCTCACCTTCAAATCACGGTGAACTATTCCGTTTTCGTGGAGGTACTTCACTGCTGTCAGGACCTGGTGGATCACCACACTCGCGTCTTTCTCGGTGTAAACTCCTCGTTCCAAAATTCGGTCAAATAGCTCTCCTCCAGATACCCTGTGGAAAGGTAGTTCAGAAAGAAGACTGAACAGAAAATTAAACAAACAAAGCTAATCGTGCTTTCGTGTCCAAGGCAAGTTAACTTTCTGGTCCTTTTACAACTCTACCTACAGCAGAACCGTTCCTTGGGCAGCACTTTTTGAGAGGCCAATGGGTGCTCTCGAGTGCAATTTCGGGGTGCCAGTAAGCATCACCAGTAAACGTAGGGAATGGGGGGAGGTTACGATGCAACTCCCAGCAGGTCTGAGCCGCAGGCGTCCAGCGCCGCGGGCAGGGCTGCCTGCGGGCTCCGCTACACAAGCGGATATAGGTTTTTGTGCGATTGCTTCCTTTTAGCTGAAGTTGCAAGTTAGTGGTAGCGGCCGGGTGCTCAGGGCTGATGCCCACAGCGAGCTGCTTTCTCTGCAGCTGACATGTTGCCTGTTTTCATTTCCAGAAACCCTGCGTAGCGCAGCTTTAATTAGCAAGACTTCTGTCTCTGCCCTGCTAAACTGTGATGAATTAATTTGCATAAATAGATCCTAATCTTGGTTTAGAAACTTGCTGCTGACACGAGCATGGGCCAAGGCAGCATGAGAAGCATCCAGGTTAGTCCAAACCACGTGGCTCTCGCCGCGTTAGCGAGGGCTGTTTGAACGGTTCCCGTGCGCGCAACTTCTGTGTGTGAGGGACTCCGGCGCGTAGGTGCTGAAATGTGGTGTGTCACCCTGGTCCCGCCGCTCTTCTTCCCCCGCGGCCCACCAAGATGCTGACACTTACAGCTGCATCACCAGGTAGAAGTGCGTTGTGCTCTCGTAAATGTCTTCTAAAGTCACAATGTTTTCGTGCTTTATTCTGTAAAGAAAATGTGGGTCAGAAGCATCCCTGGCAAGGACAAAGTGGCTTTTCAGGTGGAAAACCCAACGGTCGTCTTTTTTAAATGTTTAAAGTAATATTTATATATTCTTTAAAAAGAATACTTGTTACTTAATGTTATTCTTACTATAGAGCCACATGTCTTAGGAAAGGACATTTGTTCTACTTGACATTATAATGTATATATGCTCACTTTTTCAACACTGCTATTTCATTCTCCAAGCTGCTATCCCTTGTGAGAGGAGACTTCTTGATGCATTTCAGAGCAAAGAGCTTGCCGGTGCTTCTTTGTTTCACTAGGAAAACTTCTGAAAAGGCACCTCTGTAGAGAGAAGTTGTATTTCAGTAGATGCTGCTGCTGTGAACGGGAAGGATACTTACCCAGAGAGAAAGAGCAAGAAACACCAATATGGTAGTAATTTAACTGTAAGTGGCTGCTGACTGTAAAGCTAGAACTACATCTCCAGCAGCCCCAAACTTAGGATATTCAATGCAAGATTATGCAATATGTAGAAAAAGCCCCACAATTTTCTCTGTTTGTAGAGAAAAGGTTATTTTTGCCTAGTTCATTATGAAGCTGTGTTGAGGTAGTGGACAAAAAGATCCCTGCAATGAAATTAAATCACGTTCTTCAGGACGGTCTGTGAAGACAGTCAAGTGTGCCAGGCTACGGGTGGCTTCAGCCGGGGCCGGTTGGGCGCACAGCTCCGCGGAGCAGGCGGCAAACGCAGTTTTCGGCACGTGCCTCGGAGGCGGCACTGGCTGTGGTCTCCCAGCTCGATGCCTTTCAAGGAACCTTTGCACTGGGATCCACTGGGATTGGGGGGATTCTCCCGGGCTAAGTGCAAGCCCAGCCGAGGGGCTGTCGATAGCCACCTGGCTAACGGGGCAGTCCGAGCTTCCGTGCTCGTTGGGGTGAACAGCCCCCCGGGGAACGGTCAGCAGCCTCCACTCTAACGGGGCCAAATTCCTGCTTAATACAAACGGCGTCTCCGCAAAGGCCCCGCCGGTTTAAAGCAGTCCTTCACTTTCCGCGTCAGCATCGCCTGAGGACTGAGACAGCCGACCGGCAGTGAGGAGAGCCCAGTTAGGCTGCAGTTGGAACACATTAGTATTCTGTATATCTAAAGAGCAAAGCAACTGGATAACCTCAGTTAATGTTTTCATTCGCCATCTCACGCGTTTTCCTTTCTGCAGAGACTGCCAATACCTGCGTGCCCTGGGTCACAGAGTGACAACGAGCGTCTGGTACGTTCCCAGTCGGGGTTCAGCCCAGTGCAGCGATGAGCAGGTATTTATAACGTGCCTAAAGCGCACAATCCTGTTAAAGGTTTGTCTTGGGCAGCTGAACACGTGTCTCGGGATGGCGACAGTGCATACTTTGCCAGGTCAGTCCTCAGTAATCCTCATCAAATGAGCAACAGATTAATTGATGGCAGTTAAATGGAACTTGCCACTGGGTCTGCAAAGCCCTGCAGGGAGCCGGAGGGCAGAGCGAGGAACGGGCGTGTGGTGGGAGCACCTTCTTGGTTGGGATGCTATTGCAGCAAACCCAATAAACAAGGGCAGAAAACCTACATCTCCTGTAATCCCCTAAAAACAGAGCACCCAGCCGGACCCATCTGGCGTGCGGCGCTTTGTCTTTGTCAGCGAGCGGCAGCCGGGGACGGCATGGGGGGAGTGGAGCCTAAGGCAGCTCCTGGCTCAGCTCGGCTTTCCTCCTACTCCAGTGGGCCCCTGGGCGCTGCCCAAACAATGTGCAAGACCACTGGGGTTGTGAGGGACTGGGCTGTGCCAGGGCTGGTTCCTAGCAAGGATGAGGGATTCCTGTTAAAAAAACCCAAAACACAAAAAATCCTGTAGGTGTTTGGGAAGGCATCCCAACAGATGAATTCGAGTCTTTGTTCCACTCAGTAAATTGCATGCAATGGTCTTCTCTCTTCTAGCCCAAAAAGCAGTTGGTGTTGGGACCCTTTTCCTTGCTTCATGCATTTTTCTCCTTTTATCTGTAGGCTGTTTTGTGGAAATGCCTTTCAGGTTCCTGAGAGCTCTCAGGGAATAGGCAGGGACGTCCTTGCTAAGGTCCCTAATCCAACAGTCATGGATGCTGGGGGAAGGTGAGAGTAAGTTTCCAGGTAGTTTTAGGTCCCAGATTTTAATTGCTACTCTTTGGCTAGCTGAAGCAGTGCATGTGGAAAAAATCCCAACTTCTAATGCTAAATTTTCCTATTAACGTAATAGTAGGAAATGAACAACCTACAAATCAGATGCTGGGGCATCTGTTCTATATATCTGTCCCAAACAGTTTATAATAATTATTCCCCTTGTTAAGAAATGATGAATCAACAAGTTGGCTAGGAGAGAATGAAGCTTTTTCTAACCTCATTCTTTTCGGGGAAGCGGCTGGATGACATAACTAATTTCTGAGGCTGACTGGGAACTTGATGATTTAAAATGTCGCCAGGCTCTAGAGTAGCTGTTTTTTGGGAGCTTTGCCGTGGGTTTAAAAGTCACAGAAAATTTGGCTGTGACAGAACTCGCTGGTGGAGGCAACTCAATTCCTCCTCCACCACTTTGGGAATGTTTTCTTGTCTCATTCACATGAATAGGCAAATTAAGCTGTTAACTCACAGAGAAGTATCGTACAACTTGAACATCCTTGTTCTCGTTTCATCCCTCAGCTGAGTCAGGGTTTATGAGCTAAATATATGACTTATTATTATAATACCTCTCTCAGAGCCATCGCTTGACCTTGCATCAGCAGCAGACCAGTGTGCTCAGAAGGAAAAAAGCAAAAACTTGAACTAAGCTGCCATGCAGGCTTAGAGGGAAAGGAGGAAAGGGCAGAGCTGACCCAGAGCGTGCCGCAGGGCTGGGTGGGAAAGAGCTGCTCGGGTGCCGCTTGGCAAGCGTGAGCCATGAATCGGGGCAGCAGCAGCAGACGTGCAGCAGTGATGGGGTGCCCACCCCTCACCTCAGGACCGTTGCCTGACTCGGAAGGACATGTTTTCTTGTGGCTGTGGCCAATGCCAGGAAGGGAGTCGCTGCCCTGGGCTGGGAAGGTGGCTCTGTCTGGAGGGCGGCTCTGGTACTTACGACCCCAGGGCCTCCATGAAAACGAACGTTTTCCGAATGTTGCTCGTCTGTTTCTTCCAGGAGCTGCTGTCGTCGTCCTCCTTGCGACCCATCTCCTCCAGAGTGGAAGCAGGGAACGCTGTGAGGAAGATGAGGAGGAGAGAGGTGACTGTTGAGGCATGGGGAACAGGACTCACCGGAGCGAGCTGGGTTCAGGATGCCATGAACGGTGTTTGCTCCGTCAGAGGAGTCAGACTTTTCAAGTATGTGAAATTTTGTGCTGCTTTTGCTACTCACAGCTGTTAGTGCTGACCACGTCCCTGCTGCTACGCCCCGCTCCAGCCGTCAGGGCGGTGTAGTACCCGGTCAGCTGGGCGGGAGCCGGTGGCCGCATGGCAATACTCTCTCGTCAGCGTACTCATTTAGCACGTGTTGGCAACTACAAATGTTTATAGTGTGCTTCGTATTTAGTGGTTAAAAAACCCCGGCTGAATGGTTGCTAATTTCAACTAAAGCGTCCATGACTTAATGGATTACAAGTTAGGTACAACTAGTGATGGCGGTGGACTATAGTTGAGCTGCTTATCACTCAAATATTAAATAGTTTAAAGATCTCACGACTGCAGGGAGGGGAGTTGATATAAAACGTTTTGTTGATCTGTCTTGTACAGTTTGCACTGCTGTCGCCTTTGATTTCTGTTAACTGACAGGTTGCCTCTGCTCCAAATCGTAACCTTCCCGTCGCCTTTTCCTCGCAGGGCTGCGATGCCGCAGCGCCGTGGTGGGGTCGGGGCCACTGACGTGGCAAGGGGGTGCCCGGCTTTTAGCGCCCTGCCCTGATGGAGCAAGGGGTCCCTGCCTGCGACCCTGCGGCGCGCGGGGGTGGCGAGAGCAGCTCGCGGAGAACGCAGCTTTCTGGAGTCGCCCCT